ATTTTTGGAACAACACATTGGATGTTATTTAACTATTTCGACTACAAATTAATTTACGGCTTGCATGTGATCTTCTCCACACATGGCTACAGCGGAATGATACACAGCTGTAATACTCACTAAAGGTGATTCATTTCGCTGAACCTGGATTTGTCGAAAATATGTTATTGAAAATATTCAGTGGACGCTAGATACTTTGTACTTGGCCCTAAATGAACTAATCATGAAAACTATTGGTGTATTGCTTTTTAATAATGTTTTAATTAAACGTTCTCCGATATTTCCAGGTTACAGTATGAGTTTAAGCTTAAAACTTGGCTTTTAAATGAGCTTTACGTTCGATGTTACTACATTATCAGATGCTTCATATTTTTACAGCATAGAATAAATTTAAAGCAATTATAAAGCTATTATTAAAATAAATTAAAAAAAAACATTTTTCGATGAGAATACAATAAAAAAACAACATCAAATTTATATGAATAAGAATTTTATATTTACTAATGCACTGAATTCTGTTTCAACTGTTTATTGTCAACTGTGATATACATAAACGAATAGCGTTTCAAAATAATGAAATCATGGCCTTACAATTGATGATTTTTATCTTTGCCTAATTTTGTTACTTTTGGAATTTGTCTGATTAGTTATCAAAGTCAATCAGAACAAAATGTATGTGTTATGGAAACGTTATTATACTTCACATACAGGCAGAACGAGCGAAATGCTCTCCAATCCGGAGTACGAGCTGCTATTCTTCACTCAATCATCACTGATAATAAAACAAATTGTTGGGAATTCGCACCCTTTTTGATATTTTTAAACATTACATTCCTATCTTTTTATTTTGCGTAACGCTGGCTTTACAATTTAACGTTATTTTCGTTGACCTTGTGTTAAAGAGAGCTACAGATGTTTATAACAATTATATTTTTATCTTGTTACATCTATTCTACTGCCTAGCACGTGGAGCAGCTGGACACCTTTAATTATTCACATTTTATATAGGAGTTTACTTTGGAAAAGAGCGATTTTTCAGTTATTCTGTTTTCATAGGTAAAAGTTTGATTGTGAACTGTTAAAGCTTTTTCTTTTTTTTTTGAAATGATTTACTGTCACTATGTCATCGAGTATGCTACTTCTTGGCAAGCACTTATAATTTAATTCTTCCTCTGAGTCATCCAATAATGTCCACAAAAATGCTTTATCATTGCTTAGAAAACTATACGATGAAAATAGAAATTGCCTGAAAGTCGTCTCTTCTAATTTGATGATAAAATTTTTCTATTTCCTTGTTGGTACTTGCGACCTTCAACCGCTAACCATGCTTACACGAGAGGGCGCTACAGTGCCAAACGAGATGTACGAGTAGCGACATTAACCTTCTTACGGAACAGAAATTATAAATAAAGAAGCATGAGCTATCAGCTAACGGTTATCGTAAAGCACTGCTCACAAGAGTTCACGGTTTTAGTGTGTTTGTCCTTTTAATTCTGCGTGATTACACGTAAACATGATCTTTTCCTTCTTTGTGTAATCTTTCTATAAATTATAACACTCGTCATTAGTGTTGTTGATCTGTCACTGTCAATTTTTTTTATGTATTTTCCAGCTTGAAAGTAATTCTTGAATTTCAAAGTAAAGGTTCTTAGTTCGCCATATCTTGTTTGTTTTGCAAGGATCGTATTTTGTTACTTTCGATATTTGGTGGGTTTACAATATACACTTGTTACTTTTGGTCTTAATAATGTTGATTATTGTTTTATTATATCGAATATTAATATTTTCACAATGCAGAATTTGTTGTACTGTGTCTGAAAATAACAGGTATTTTCGTCTTATTGCAATTGTTTAAATTAATGTAATAATACTGCTTGCTATTTGTTTTAGCCCAACGACACATTGGACTTCTTGCTGGGTCTACCGCGGGGAATCGAACCCAGGAATTTTACGTTGTAAGTTCGTAAACTTACCACTGACCCACCGGGGGACTAAGTAATACACCGACAGTAATATATTGAACTTACTTACCATAAATGATTTTTCGAAAACATCTAGGCGAACAATTTGGCACTATTTAACTACTGACAAGCGTGTATGCAAAACTTGTTAATAACATATGTGAATTGTTGGTCAAAAGAAATCAACACCCACGCGCAGTAGTATTATTAGTACCACATAAGACAGTTATAAAATGGCTTAGGGGTTTATTTCGAAACATCTAAATATGGATTTTTTTTTTTTGTATAGTAGAATCATCGCTGTGGTTACTTTAGAAAGCATTGGAATATATATATATAGTGGGTTTTGACCATCACATTATATCTGAGAGTGTTCTTGACGCAAAGGAGCTCAAACGTAGGATCCTCGGTTTTACAATCCGGGCACGCTAACATCAGACCACACCCAACCTTTTTTTTTTATGTGTCATTACATAATTCAGTGGATGATGTCAGTTTGGTAAGGTCTGATATTGACCAATATGTTTTATGGTTATCGCCTCAACGACCTTTAATGATTCGATATGAAATGAGTTGTCTTCTACAATAAATATCGACAACAAAAAGACTTGTTGAATCGTCTGTCACTTGTTGAGGATGCTTAGAAAGGATTGGTTTATATCCTGAGAAAAAGACAAGATGTTCTTGTCGACCAACACCTAATCTAAACTGCTTCTTTTCATCAGGGATGACTGAATAGGTCACGTGACTAGACGATAAATTAGCATGCCGAAAATTATAGGCTGTTTTTATGAAAAAGTCTTGGTGTGGCTCACTACTGATATGTATTTCTCAGAACTGTCTTTAATAATATTGACGAAACTTATGATTTATGATACCGCTAGGCTGAATGTTACTTTTCATATTTAAGTAGTATCAAATACTATTTATTATATACAAGTCTTCACATCGAAACTTTGTTTCTCAACATCCATTTTGATCAACAACTACTATAACACCAGAACACAAATACCTCGGAGTTTAATATCTTGTGATGTGCACCAAGAAATACACAACACCATTATTTGGTTTATTTAAACGTAAATTATATCTCTCGAACCAGATGACACGAACCTAAATAAGCAGTATGCAAACTCTTTGAAATTTAACATAAACTGAATTCGCGAAAGCAACTTTAAAAATACCAAAATAGAATTAATTTTCTCAATATCTCGTTATAAAGTAAGAATAACTAGACAGAATATAAAGTTGGTTTGTTGAGACACTAGGTGTGCTCTTGAAACATTTTCAATTTTTTCCTGATGGTAGACAAAAGGTGATTTACTTAGGTATCACTTGTAGGTCCTAAAGCTTCCAAGAAGACGTTTTGAGCATGAACTTTAGTACACAAAAAAGTTACTTAGGTATTATTTAATATTCATATTCCATAAGAAATAAACTAGTTGCATATTGTAGCCATTAATTAAATTGTAATCTTTATACGTATAGTGTATACAATATTATTTTATTTGTAAGTTCTTGTTGAAGTGGTAAGAGTAGGGACACCTGTAAGAATGTGAAAAGCTTTTCTGGGGTTATAGATTTATTGCGAGTGTAAGAAAGCACTGTCTCAATATCACTGGTCACTTGTTAAGTAGGACAGTTATTACGCCCATCATACAGTTGCTACAAATATCCTAATCTCCACTAACGATGTCTTGATGTGTAGTTTTCTGCGTCTTAAAGCCAGCTTACTAGCGTACGCTTACAAGTTTACCTTTACGTTGTGCAATAATTCATATTTTCTTTCTTTTATTTTGTTTATTATTCCATTCATTTTAATTCACC